CCTGCGGGCTAGGAGGTAGCCCGCGGATCAGGCCGCAGGATCGGCGGCCGACGGTGCCACATAGGTGTTCATACCGCTAAAGGGCGAACACCTAATGCATTGCAGAAGGGGTGGAAACCTAAGCGTCCCATTGATGTGCTGACAAGGGACCAATTCCTTAAGTTACCTCCAGGGACCAGGTAATATGCAATATTGTTTCAAGGAGACATTAAGAAAGTGAAGAATAATCTAAAGAAAGCTCAGGATCGGATGATTGAACAAGCTAATAAGCATCGTCGGCCATCGACATTCTAGGTAGGTGATCTCGTCTGGATGAAGTCCAAAGAGTTTTCACTAGAAGAAGATGTGTCTCATAAACTATTGCCTGTCTATTTTGGACCCTGGGAGAAGTTCTTAAAATAATTGGGGATGCAGAGGGACCGTCTTTTCGAATTGATATTCCCCCTCACCTCAAAACATATCCTGTCTTTCATGCGTCCAAATTGCTACCTTATGTAGAAGGAAATGAGTTCTCACATAGACCGTCTATGATTCCTCCAGACATGGACGGCGGATATGAAGTGGATAAAATCACAGAGCATGGGTACTTTTCTACAGGTGCACGTGGACGACCTCAGAAGCAGTTCAAGGTACGTTTCAAGTCTCTAGCACCATCTGAGGACAGATGGTTTAGTAAACGAGAACTGCTTGAAACTGCTCCTGATATTGTCGCTGCTTATGAACGAGGGTTAAAGTCTTAAATATTTCTGCGGTGGAACTGGAAAATGGGCGGTCAGGAATGCAGTAACCCTGTTCAGAAGTAGCCTGGGGCTCAAAACTCAGCCCCAGGAAACGCAGATCTGAGTTGGTCTGCACTAGGCTGTGTGACCAAGACACGCCCAGGCTCGAGTCCGTCGAGTGTGGCTGTGTGACCGAACGCTGCACACAGGAAATTCAAGAGTCAAGGTCAACTGTAGAGTCAAAGGTACCGCACCCAGGCCCTTGGTTGGATAACCTCACTTGTTGTGCGCAGGTACCCAGACAGCATCCAGGGCGGAGGAAATTCGGTTTCAGGCCAATCTGGGCCCTCATTCGCATTGAGATCTGGACGGCTGAGGGATACAGCATCCGGGGTCAAGACCCCGCGTCAACACTACATAAGAGCTGACTGCCTGGCTTTGACATTCATTCAGTCTTGCATCAATGCTGACTTCACGCGTTGACTTTGACGCTGGTGCGACGCTGCGACACTGGCTGGACGCTGGCTCTATGCTGGCATATGAGAGGAGACGGCGACGCGCCGCTGACTGGCATGGTGGCTGGCTGGCAATTGTCTTTTTGGCATGCTGATGTGGCAGATGCCACGCGCCGCCACTGACGTGGCTGCTGCCACATGTACTCTGACGTGGCGGGGCTAGTGCTGTTCTTATTCATCTTCACTTCGGAAGGAGATCAAGACTGTGGGGTTATCGCAGATCCATACCTGGTATCTTGATGTCGACATTCTCCAGTTCGCTGATGAGGACAGGCTGACGTGCCACGTGGCACATTGAGAGAGAACTTCAGATTTGTGTTCGGGTTATTGATTATTGAGGTGGCGAGAGAGGAGGGAGCCCGAAGCAGGAGTGGGCATTGTTGATTTCTCCCCTCTCAGTCTATTCTCCCCTCTATCTCCTTCGTCTGTGTATGATTTCCCATCTCATTCTATCTGGACACAATTCATCAGCAGGTTGATATCTATATGGGCTGGCATTGTTGACAAGTATCTTCGCCATCTGGGTTCATTACAGGCAGCAAAAATGTTGTCCCTTCGAAGTTTTCTTTGCAAAAATAGAGGTTTCGTTGCAGCTCTATATGGGTTTGCATAGTTTGCCAGCAAAAATAAAAATACAGGGCTTTGCCAAGTTTCACAGCAAAGGACCCCTAGGCCTGGCCTCAGAGACTCAGGGACTCGGCTTTCTGGCCTCAGACTGCCACTGCCACAAAAGAAAAAAAAGTGGCAGAGGCATCTCGGGCGGCTGAGACGCCTCAGCCACGCCAGCCGAAAAAAAAAAGAAAAGAAAAAGAAAAAAAAACCGCTGCATCCCTGAGTACTTGAGGCCAGAACGCTGAGTCCCTGAGTCTCTGAGGCCAGAGGCCTAGGAGTCCTTTGCTGTGAAACTTGGCAAAGCGCTGTAATTTTGCTTGTAAACTATGGGACCCGGTAAAGCTGCAACGAGACATCTCTTTTTCGCAAAGGAAACTTCGAAGGGACAACATTTTTGTTGCCAAACTTGGAAAAAGCAATATTTTTGCAGTTAACCCAACTTCAAATCTTAGGACCAAGTTAAGCACTACGAAGAAAAGAATCTCAAGATTAGAATTGAAAATCCCAGCTTTTGTAACAAAAAAAAATAAAAATAAAAAAAAATCCCAGCTTTTGCTTATCGCCTTGCTCCAACGACGGCACAGTAGAACTGCAAAACACTGGGAGACTTGAGTGTGGCACATTTGCACCAGTACCTTTTCTACTCAGCCCTGGACGTAATTGTGATCCCGTTCACCAGTAATTACGAGGGCGCTCTCAGAGAAAACTTGAGGCCCGTTTCGAAAAACTTGAGGCCCGTTTCCAAAAACTTCAAGAAAAAGATTTCTCTGAGAGCGCCCTCGCACTTTTCTGGACTTTTTTGAAATGTCTCTGGGGGCGGGGGTAATTGCAGTCAGAGACATTTCAAAAAGTTGGAGGGCGCGCTCAGAGAAAGCTTTTTCTTGAAGTTTTTTTTTTTTTTTTTTTTTGAAGGGCGATGGCCTTGAGGTATTATCATCGGACTAACCAGCCCACGTAAATTCAATATTGTGTCTAATCTGACATCGGGTGGCCTTTTCAGCCCAGGGTGCACTTTTTTTTTTGCCTTCAGGGAACCCCAAACGGGCCTGAAAGCTTTTTCTTGAAGTTTTGGAAACGGGCCTCAAAGTTTTCGAAACGGGGCAAGTTTTCGAAACGGGCCTGCCCGACGTCGACAGCCAATCTCTAAAAGATTCTGTTTTTTTTTGGGAACTCGGAAGAATTGGTGGATACGGCCCGCGGAGAAACGTTTGCAAATTTAAAGTTCAAACTGAACAATGTCTTTATAATTTATAAAAGCCGGGAACGGGCCCGGTGGCTAGGTCCCGCTTGCATGAATTAAGAGATACTCACCGTAGATAGCAAAGATCAACGCCGAAATCTCCTAATTTGCGCAAGTGGGACCTTGCCCCGGCTTCGCGTGCCTTACAAAATTAGGTGGGGCCCTCAGTGGGCAAGGCATCACCGGCCAAGCGCATCGAGGGCACCACTAGATTTCACCCCACGGCCAACTGCACAACAAACTCAACAGCCCCAACAACTGAAAAGTCAACGAAAATTATCATTAAAAAAAAAATCTAAAAAAAAAATCTAAGTTCATCACCAAGAAACTCTAATCACAAAGTTTCTTCGTACCCGAACTTTTCGAGGTAGGCAAGACGGGCCCACGGAAAAAGGGAATCTGGCAAAAATACAGCGCCAGGTTCATAATCCAGTACGAAGAGGCGACGCATTCTACTTATTCTAATTAGTTTATTGATAGAAATAATAGTTTATAAAGAATTAATAAATCAAGAATTACGCCAAAAAACAAAAATCTACTACATAAATAAATATAATCTATAAGAACGATCATACAATTGTAATAAATATAATAGAATAGCTTACTAATTCTAATAGCGGTGAGGACCCGATCTTTGCTGCCAGGGTTTTTACATCGGACGGCCTGCAATGCCCGTGGGCCCTTCTTACATCGGACGGCCTGCAATGCCAGTGGGCCCTTCTTGACAGAGGGGAAAAGTTTGTGCAAGGAAACCAAAAATGTTGTTTGCTCCCAAGAAAGTTTTTTTTTTTTTTTTTTTTTTTTTGGGACGTGGGCTGCAGCTCCCCTATAGAGAATGCCAGGTGATGCCATCTGGCATATTAAACATTCGTGGATGAAATCCGGGAAGTGCATCAATCAGTATTTCTTATCCATGAAGGGTTCCACTAGTTCTTAGTACTTCGTACCCATAGACAAAAAAAAAAAAACAGGGGAAAAAAACGACCATTACTAGCAGGCGCAGCTCAGTTGGTACACCCATGAGCAATTGAAATGCAGACCGGAGCTCAAGTCCAGATCAAACCAGATGACCGAAATAGAATAGCTCTGGGTGGAGGGATAGCCGGTCAGTTCTACGATGATATTTCTCAAAGCCGTCATCCTCTGAAGAGGGAAATAACAAAACGAAGAGAGAAACAAAGAAAGAGAGAATCATTCTTGGACGTCAGTGCGGGCAGACTCGTACAGAGAGTACAGATCAAACAGCAGTTCAATCCGCTGAAGATCAATCCATCCTACCATCTGTCAATCAATCAACCAATCAATCAACCAATCAATCAACCAATCAACCAGAAAGCCAATTAATCAACGAGACAATCAAAAAAATCCATTGTACGATCTGTCAATCAATCAACCAATCAATCAGACAGCTAATCAATCAACGAGACAATCAAACAAATACTAGTAAAAGACAAGCCCCACATCAATCACAAGGAAACTGCAGGGGCGCTCAGCGGATATCAACCCCACTCTTCCGGATGAATCTGACTGCTATCGCCGCCACATTCCTTCCAAAAAGACACGCGCCATGAGGTATTCAACTGATCAGGTACTAAGCCGATCCGAGCAGATACTACACAAGTTCTATTTTTAGCCAAATGGCTCGCAAGAGCAACTCCAAAAAATTCAAAGAGAGAGAGAGAGAGAGAGAGAGAGAGAGAGAGAGAGAGAGAGAGAGAGAGAGAGAGAGAGAGAGAGTCTCCTAACCTTGACCTTTTGATGATGACGTCAAAGCGCTACGAGCGACAGCAGCCGACAGCCGTGGGATTGCCAACCAGCGGCGGTCGCCGGTCGGAGCGCCGTTGTCTATCAACCTCTCTATCTCAGTGTGTTATGGGGAAGCGCAAGGGAAGATGGACAGATGGGAGACAAGCAGTTCCCTAATTGCTAGTAGTACTCTCTTTAGCGGAGGATAAACAGGACGCGGGGAACGTGTGAGGTTTGGTTGAGAAGTCAGACGCCAGTGCCGCGGAGAGGAGAGGATGGTTGTGGTTGAGATGCTGCAGACGGTCCGGACGTCGGGGATACCGATGAGCCTGAGGGGGAAGCGGGAGGCGGATTTGAAATAGAGGAAGAAAGATTCGTTGAAAGTTCCAAGACTTGACCGTAATTGGTCCCGACGAGCAGGTAATCCCCCGCCTTACTGATGGCGAGTCCAAGGAGGGACGACTGCGGGACTTGAATCAGCTTGTTAGCGGCCATAGCCGCTTCGCACGGGGAAGCCAAGCTGATGCTGAACAGCTCGCCGGCGAAGGTGATGACGAAGATGGTCAACCCGTCCGACGTGGCAGCCAGCTCGACCATGGTGCCCTCCATCTCGATGAGCAGGGGGGGAAGGGATCCCGACGTGGAGGAGAGCGCGGCGGAATCGTCGCTTCCGGCCGCAATGAGCTTCACAGTGCGAGTCGCGGTCTCAAAACCCCACAGCCGATTGAAGTCCTGATCGACGAAGTAGAGGCAGCCGCCATCGCCATCGAAGCCGTACGGCCCAACCACGGGGGAGCTGCCATTCGCGCTCGAGAGGTAACTGTCAAAAGCCATGACTTTTCTCAAGGCCACGTATCCGCTAGGAACATCGGGATCGTCGACCGCGACTGCGAAGATCTCCGGCGGATCGTATATGTCGCTGATGTACAGCTCGGTTTTCGCGGGATTGAATGCCAATCCCGTTGCCAATTGTGCGTCAATCTCGATCGACGTCCGTGTGCCATTGATGATGTTCACCGCCACGATCCACGACGGATCGGAGGGACTCGCGCTGTAGGCAGTGAGGAGGAGATGGGTTGACCTCTTCGACAACTCCAAGCCGGTAAGCTCGGTCATGTACGGCGTGGCTCTGTCTCGTTCGAAAGCCACAGCAGTCCGCGGGGCGGAGCCGTTCGGTCTGGCGGCCTGCCACCAGTGGCTGATGACTCTCGTGGCGGCGAGCTCGGCGACTCCCTGCTTGACACGTGTCAGATCGGCCGACATGCAAGACATCGCCGTCCGGACAATCCTGCCGTCCGTGTCTTCACAGCGCCGTTCCAAAATGTAGTAGAAGTGCAGCCCGTCTGCAGAGAGGACTATGTTGCGAATGATTCTCATGCAGTATTCCGCGCCAGGGACCACATACCGCCCCTCGAAAGGAGGAGCCGCCACGTGTGAGACGACGGTCTTACACCCGGTCAACAGCGTCTGATTATCGAGCGGCGGACACTCCGACGGTTGCGCGGGCGGAAACTCCGATGGCTGCGGCGCAAGCTCCTCCGATCGCTGCGGCGGAAACTCCGATGATTGCGGCGGCACATTCTCAGATAGCGGCGGTAAGGACTCCGATTGCGCCCGCGGAGACACTGATGACGCCGCCAGCTTTCCCGCGGTAAGCACCCTGCTGTCCACGTGGACGTCGCGGTCGTTGTCCATCACCCCGTCGAGCATGTTATGCTGCAGATGGCGGGAAAGTCGATGGAGCTCCTCCTCCCGCCCCCGCGCCCGCCGTCGCAGCAGCATTTCACCCTGCGCCGCGGCAAGGGGGAGGAAACAATAGAACGTGACGATCTGCACGGCCAACGCAACGGCAAGCAGTTTTGATGACGGCATCATAGGTCGGTGATCTTTGATTCGTATGATACACTGACACCCTGCCTGCGTTTTCTATGGAGTGCCTACCGGTAGTAAGAATGGACCCACTCAAATTACCCCAACCCCCCTACTCCCTCCCATTCGTCAGTACTTCGCCTTGCGACGACGTTCTTGCAGAGCGATTGTTTGATTACTCTTACGTGTCCTTTACGCTTCATACAACTCCTCTTGCTCCTAACCCCTCCTCCTCCTCACCTTTGCACTTTGCTGGAGGTATCTTTTCGGCACGCTTACAGCCCCTATTCACTGCTTGACAAATCGGTCCTAACGTGAAAAGGCACACTCTCTATACAACTGCTGCTGACAGTGTGAAGCTGAAGAACGACAACGAGCGCCGTGGCTACGTCAAAAGGGGCTGCCATCTCACTGCTCTTGCTTCTTCTTCTTCTTCTTCTTCGTGCTCCGCTCCATCAAAGCCGGCAAGAATTGTGTAAGGTCAACGGGAAAATGAAAAAAGAAGGAGACTTAGGAGAGAGAGGGGAATACACGATTCACAGACTACCATAGCACAAAATGCGAGGCTTTACTCTCTCGAGAGCATTAAAATCGTTGCACGGCGGATTTGAGGAGGGCGGAGGGGAGGGGAGGGGAGGGGAGGGGGGGTGGCGCTGCGCAAGACGCAGGCACGAACGACTGTAGCAAGACCACAGCACTTCCATCCCAGTGGGACTCTACAACGATCACATGGAAAATCTCGGAGGCCCTACATAATGCCATCGACGACCCCATGCACCCAGCAGGGCTAATAAGTTAATAACTTCAGTAGAGTCACGAAAACGAGTTATAATTGTCCCTTCCGGCAAGAGAATGGGGCAAGATACAGTTTGCAATTGCACTTCGGGCACCCTACACCTGGCCAGAAAGCTGGGTTGTATACATTGCCCGAACTGCAATTCGAAACTGTATCTTGCCCCATTATAGTGCAATTATAACACATTCTTGTGACTCCCACGTAGTTTCCCCTTTTGTTGGGTTAACTTCAGTAGAGTCACGAAAACGGGTTATAATTCTTTTTTTTTGATTTTTTTTTTTTTCTTGTCGCCCAGCTTACGGGCACTGAATTTGCCGCACATACCCGAACTACCCTCAATTCCTTGTTGACTTTCTTTGTTTTTCCCCTAAAGGCCTCTGAATGAAGCCGTTGATTATGCGAACGCGAAACGGGTCACTTTCGGGGTAGACTGGGGGACTGTGGGAGTTCATTACGAAGGAAACAGCAGCAGATCATTACGAAGGAAACAGCAGCAGATCGTTACGAAGGAAACAGCAGCAGATCATTACGAAGGAAAGAAGCAGCAGATTCCCAAAAAAAAAAAAAAAAAAAAAAAAAAAAGAAACAGCAGCAGGAGCTAGTGGCTTTCGTCGCGGTAGACTGCGAGTTCGATAATATGCAAAAGGGCCGGTAATGGTGAATGGGCGTCGCCACACCACTCTCGAAATGTGAAAAATGAGAATGAACTTCCGACTAGAACATGACCAGATGCACCCGCCGCATTTTTGTTTTTTTCACATGTCGAGAGTGGTGTGGCGAGGCCCAATGTGTCGGCTAGAACATGAGCAGATGCACCCGCCACATTCAGCCGACTTCAGACCCCTGAAGACTCCTGAAGTGGGCGGCTAGGCGAAACCGGTCGGGTCTCAAAGCCGCCGCATGAGAACCTTCGTTTTTTTTTTGTTTTTTTTTTTTCTTGTTCGTTTCCATTTTGAGCTTCATGTTTTTATCTTTGAATCAAGTCGCGTTCGGGAACCTGTCTCTCTTCTTCCCCCTGCTGTGTCATCGGTTTGGTCATCTTCTATGCCTGTCTCTTATACACATCTAGATGTGTATAAGAGACAGGAGTAGCGTCTGCTCCTACAGAGATAAAGGGTA